GTGGAGGACTACGGAGACGGCCGCTCCAGGGAGACTGCTCACCAGACGCCTCAGCACCCCCAGACCCCTCACACTCAGGCTCAGCACCTCCAGGCTCCACACCCTCAAGCTCCGCACCCCCAGGCTCAGTACCCCCAGGCTCAGCACCCCCAGAAGTAGCACCCCGAGCAGGACCGTCCGCAGCAGGACCTGAGTCACCAGTGACCTCAACCGGCGCAGTCAAGGGAGGAGGGTCTACCTGAGACACACCTGAAGGAGCAGGACCGGGAGCGGGGAGGGGGTCTACCTGGGGAGCACCTGGAGCGAGGAAGAGCGGCGGGGGGGGGAGCGGGGCAGTGCGGTAGGGGAAGAGACGGTAAAAGGGAACCGACTCGTCGAACGTGACGTCCTGAGACGCAAAGACACGGCGCGAGGTGGGGTGGTAAAACTGCCAACCAGGCGCGTCAGGGACAAAGCCAAGGAAGACACAGGGAACAGCGCGGGCGGAGAGCTTGTCCGCGGTGGTATCACGGACAAAGGCACGAGCACCCCAGACCCGGAAACGCGACGCATCGCCAACCTTCCCCGTCCACAGCAGTGTGGGCGAGGTCTCCGGCAAGGAGACACGGGGCCAGAGGTTGAGCTGATGCGCGGCGTACCGGACCGCAAACGGCCACAGAAAATGGGGGGCAGCTGCATGGATCATGGAGGTACGAGCGACCTCCATGACTAAGCCAATGCGGCGCTCAGCAACCCCATTCTGCTGCGGAGAGGCCGGAAGCGTGAACATCTGGCGGATGCCGTGCGTCGCACAGAAGGCTGCCAAGAGGTCTGAGGTGAACTCACCACCTCTGTCAGAGTGCAGACGCAGGACAGGAAAGTCCCGCCGGAACCGCTCGCGGAGCTGGAGACGAACAGTGCGGATCCAAGGGATCAAAACATCAGGGACGTCCCCCTTGCGCTGCAAGGGGAAGACCGTGGTGTAACGCGTGTAGTCGTCGACGACCAGCAGGAAGTACCGCTCGTGGCCCTGTCCACGGACGCGGGCTGGGCCCCACACGTCTAGGTGGAGAGTCTGCAGGGGAGCCTCTGTGGGAGGGAACGAGGAGGAGTGAGGAGCGGCGCGCTGCCGCCCCTCGACGCAAGGAATGCAGGGCGGCGCAGGCGAGGGAGGGAGGGCAGGCAGAGACCTGGGAAGACCAGAAACCAGGGAGCGAGAGTGCATGCCACGAAGGCGCTGCACCGAGGGGTGACCAAGGCGGTGGTGCCACAGGAGGGTCTGGTGCGACAAAGCGCGACACTCGCAGGGGGCCGCCAGCTGACCTGACGCAGACGCAGACGCAGACGCAGCTACCTGAGGGGACTCAGTGGTCAGTGTGTACAGACTCGAGCCAGGCGCACGGGTAAATGTGGCCAGGTGTCGGCCCGTCCGAGCACACGTACAGTGAGTCACTCGCTGACTCGCAGGAGTGAACTGGTGAACCCCCCGATCCTGGAGGTCAGCTCCACTCACCAAGTTCGTAGAGAACGAGGGGAGGTAAAGACCTGACAGCGAGCCAGACGGGGCGGCCGGACACGGCAGAACCGTGGAGTAGTGGGCAAGGACTGGACCCCCGGAGGGGTCCGCCAGGGAGACTGGAACTGGCCGACTAAGCGGCGTGAGTGTGGTGCAGTCGCGAAAGAAAGAGCGGGAAGCTCCTGAGTCAAGGGTGAAGGTGTGCAAGACCGCAGCAGGCGCAGTACCAGAGAGAGCAGACTCACCAGCACCTAGAGCAGCAGCCTCACCAGCACTGGGAGCAGGAGACGCACGAGCACCTAGAGCAACAGCCTCACCAGCACCTAGAGCAGCAGGCTCTATACCTGGGTCAGGCGGTACACACAGGTAACAGGCACGGTCAGCACTAGTAGGCAATGCATACATGGCAGTAAGAATAGCATCATAGTCAAGAGCAAAGATATCTACCCTCTGTCCAAGCAGCTCCAGCCAGGTGGGGAGCTCAGCCTCGTCGCCAAACTCGGTACGCCAGGCGTCGCTCAGACGGGTGAAGCAGCGGGACTGTGTGTGACCAAGCGTCCCGCAAGGCTGACCAGCCCGATCACCTGTGCGAATAACGTACGGGCAGCGAACTGTACTCAAAGACCCTCCACTCTGAGCGTACCACTCATGGAGCTGCTGGGACGTAAGTGTCTTGCGTGGACGCCGCTGCAGCTGCAGCTGGCCACTACCAGACGCTCCCAACTGACCAGCTCCAAGGCGACAGCTACGACGGCTGCCGCGACAGCCCCAACTACCATACCACTCACTAAGCTGCTGGGGCGTGAGAGACTCGTGGAAACGTCGCTGGAGCTGCATCTGGCCACCTGCTAGTAGCAGTAGTAGCAGCAGCAGCTCGGGCAGGGCAGGCGCGGCAGGCAGGCAGGCAGGCCGGCAGGCAGGCAGGCAGGCAGGCCGACAGGCAGGCAGGCAGGCAGGCAGGGCGGTAGGCAGGCCAGCAGGCAGGCAGGCAAGCAGGCAGGCAGGCAGGCAGGCAGGCAGGCAGGAAGGCAGGCAGGCAGGCAGGCAGGCAGGCAGGCAGGTAGGCCGGCAGGCAGGCAGGCAGGCAGGCAGGCAGGAAGGCGCTCACCAGAGGCGGGAAGAGCAGGCGCTCGCCGGGCGAGCAGGGCCGGCGCTCGGCGGGCGGCGGCCGGGTAGGCGCACGACGGCGGCGACGGCAGAGCCGCAACAGCGGCTGCAGAGTAGGGCCGCGGCAGCTGCAGGGCGGGGCCGTGACAGCTGCAGTAGGCTCCGCGGCAACTGCTGCAGGGCAGGGCCGTGACGGCGGCAGAAGGCTCCTCGGCAGCTGCTGCAGGGCGGGGCCGCGACGGCGGCAGAAGGCTCCAGTCGCGGCAGCTGCTGCAGGGCTGGGCCGCGACTGTGACAGGCCGGGGCCGACGTCCAGGGGGGGGGTGGCGCTGTGACGAACAGGGGCAGCCGCGGCGCGCGGGGCTGCAGCGCGAAACGCGAGCTGCGGGCGCGGCGCGCGAAGCCGCCGCGGGCTGCGCGAGGACGGCAGCCGCGGCGCGCGGGGCTGCAGCGCGACGCGCGGGCAGCGGACGCTGCGCACGGGGCTGTAGCGCGACGCGCGGGGCTGCAGCGCGACGCGCGGTCGGGCAGAGGCTGCGCGCGGGCGGCGAGGGCCTGCAGGGGCGGCGCGCTGGCCTGACGGGTCTGCAGGGGCGGCGCGCTTGCGTGACGGGCCCGCTGGGGCGGCGCGCTGGCCTGACGGGGCCTGCAGGGGCGGCGCGCTGGTCTGACGGGCCTGTAAGGGCGACCGCGGGCCTGACGGGGCCTGCAGGGGCGGCGCGCGGGCCTGACGGGGCCTGTAGGGGGGGGGCACGGGCCTGACGGGGCCTGCAGGGACGGCGCGCGGGCCTGACGGGGCCTGCAGGGGCGGCGCGCTCGTAGCTTGGGCACCGCGCCGGGGAGCAGCAGGCAGGCAAGGTAGGAGCAGGCAGCGCGAGGGCTGCACGACGGCGCGCTCAGCGCAGCACGTCACAAGGCAAGGCAGGGCGCACGCGTGAGGCGCAGCGCAGGCAAGGCAGGGCGCGTGTGGGATTACCCGGTAACCGCAGTCGAACATTAGGCAATTGTGGGCCCGGAAAAAAAAACGGTCCTACGAACCTACTGCTCTGATACCATGTTAGAAACTAGTGACAGAGTGACTGAACTAGCAGCATGATGGGTACAAGTAGGAAACCCTAATTTGGGTTGTACCCCATATGGGCTACCCCATTACAGCCTACACAATAAGCAGCATATATGTTTGACAGAAAGAAGTGATAAGGCTGGTGGCGCCCCTTCAGGTTTCAGTTATTTTTTTATTGCACTGCCATGTAAAAACTACTAGCTAAACCGCTAAACATCATTTAGAGCGTCTCCCTACGCCTCATATCAAGCAACCTCATATCGGACTTGCCTGGTGCAACTAGCAAAGGATTTTGGGCTTGGGGCAATTTTCAGCGTAAGCCTGATATGAGACTTCTTTGATACAAGGCATAGGAACACGCCCTTATTACTTGGAGGCTCTCATATCCCATGTTGTATAACTTCAGACCTGTGTGGGCTTTGATTTGAACACAACAGATATGCATCTACCACGAAAGAAAAGAAACACCCCAAGGTCAGCATGGTTTTTGCCAAAATTACCTTCAAGGCCACGACGAGGATTTGTTAGAGGGTTCTGCAATACTCTGTAGCTGCGTGGTTGTTGCCGCAGAGAGGTTAAAGTCAGAATAATACTCTCAGGTCGATGTTTACCGGACACGGCACCTACAACTTACACACATGACAAAGGATTTTCACTGTTATGAACAAGGATAGTAAATTCCTCTAGGTGTTGAGAGCTTTCAGTGTATCAAGTGACACCCCAGTCTTGTGATGTTGGTTCATACGCGTTTCACGTTCATGGCATGTTGTTCCACCCGCGCAATCCGCGGCCCTGCCGCGTCAACCGCTTTCACACTGCCCAGATTTCAACCAGGGAAGCGGTCAACAAACTTCAACAGTTGCGCAGGTGTGGGCCCAGGGCCCACTGTTGTGTGCGTAACCAAGCAGCACAGCGGAACTGTCGGAAGCGCATTTGCGAGTCATTTTGGCGTCGCAGGTTGGGATTTGTAACTTTTCGCGAAAACATATCGCCCAATCTCCATGTCGTGAAATGTGTCTGCGAAACCTGAGCTAAAGGCGCAAGTCCCGGATTTGACGTGGCGGGAAATTCATCATCCCGCCAAAATCAATCGCGGCGCATCCTTTCGTTCATCTCATCTCACCAAAGCAGAAACGCTTTCGAGTCGCGTTCCCACCCCACTACAAAATCATGCTCTCGTCACCCACATCGACATCTTCACCACTGGGGACTTTCCTCTAGATTTCCACCCCGTCACTTCAACTTTCTCGCAATTTGAGCTTGTCAATCGCAAATATCCCTGTTTTTTAGCTCGTCCGTGCGTGACGGGTGCCTGGAGAGGTTGATTCCAGCACGATGGGGTGCAATGCGCGAGGCACGGCGTTGCCTCTTCTGCTCGCGCTTCTAGCGGCGTCGGTGATTGTCGCGCCAGGTGAGTCCCCCACTTCGTGCTCACCTTCTGTCCTCCATTTTGTTTTCCTTCTCCTCTCATCGATTACCAATTCGTTCTTCCTACTCTCCTCTGATAACCTGCCTGCTTGTCGTGCATTCCTGTTCTGCGTCCTTCGATTCCGTCGGTTTTTTCTGCCTTCGATTTCGATGGATACGGGATAACGGATATAATTTGTCGTATCGTTTCTATCTGCGCAGCAACCGCGAGGGTTCTTGCTCCGCGAAGTCCGCGGCGAAGTCTCGCTCTCAAGGCCCTCTCGCTCCTCAAGGTGACATCAATCAAACCGACGCTGCTGGCTGTTAATGATTTGGGCGGCGGCTCTGGCGGAGATCTGGGCGGACCAGGCGGCGATTTGAACGGCGGCAGCGGCGGCGATTTGGGCGGCGGCTCTGGCGGAGACCTGGGCGGCGGCCCTGGCGGAGATCTGGGCGGCGGCTCTGGCCCAGATTTGGGCGGCGGCAGTGGTGGGGATTTGGGCGGCGGCAGCGGCGGAGATTTGGGCGGCGGCAGCGGCGGAGATTTGGGCGGCGGCAGCGGCGGACCTGGCGGACAGCAGGGCGGACCCGGCGGGCAGCAGGGCGGACCCGGCGGGCAGCAGGGCGGACCCGGCGGGCAGCAGGGCGGTCCCGGCGGACAGCAGGGCGGTCCCGGCGGACAGCAGGGCGGACCTGGCGGGCAGCAGGGCGGACCTGGCGGGCAGCAGGGCGGCCCCGGCGGACAGCAGGGCGGCCCCGGCGGACAGCAGGGCGGGCCCGGCGGACAGCAAGGGGGTCCCGGCGGACAGCAAGGGGGTCCTGGCGGACAGCAGGGCGGTCCCGGCGGACAGCAGGGCGGCCCCGGCGGACAGCAGGGCGGTCCCGGCGGACAGCAAGGGGGTCCCGGCGGACAGCAGGGCGGTCCCGGCGGACAGCAGGGCGGTCCCGGCGGACAGCAGGGCGGGCCCGGCGGACAGCAAGGGGGTCCCGGCGGACAGCAAGGGGGTCCCGGCGGGCAGCAAGGCGGTCCCGGTGGACAGCAGGGCGGGCCCGGCGGACAGCAGGGCGGTCCTGGCGGACAGCAGGGCGGACCCGGCGGACAGCAGGGCGGACCTGGCGGACAGCAGGGCGGCAGCGGCGGAGATTTTGTTGGCGGCAGCGGCGGAGATTTGGGCGGCGGCAGCGGCGGAGATTTGGGCGGCGGCAGCGGCGGAGATTTGGGCGGCGGCAGCGGCGGACCTGGCGGGCAGCAGGGCGGACCTGGCGGACAGCAGGGAGGTCCCGGCGGACAGCAAGGCGGGCAGCAGGGCGGGCAGCAGGGCGGGCAGCAAGGCGGACCTGGCGGGCAGCAAGGCGGGCAGCAGGGAGGGCCTGGCGGGCAGCAGGGCGGGCCTGGCGGGCAGCAGGGCGGGCCTGGCGGGGAGCAGGGCGGACCTGGCGGGCAGCAGGGCGGACCTGGCGGGCAGCAGGGCGGACCTGGCGGGCAGCAGGGCGGACCTGGCGGGCAGCAGGGCGGACCTGGCGGGCAGCAGGGCGGACCTGGCGGGCAGCAGGGTGGACCCGGCGGGCAGCAGGGCGGACCTGGCGGGCAGCAGGGCGGACCTGGCGGGCAGCAGGGCGGGCAGCAGGGCGGACCTGGCGGGCAGCAGGGCGGGCAGCAGGGCGGACCTGGCGGGCAGCAGGGCGGGCAGCAGGGCGGGCAGCAGGGCGGACCTGGCGGGCAGCAGGGCGGACCTGGCGGGCAGCAGGGCGGGCAGCAGGGCGGACCTGGCGGGCAGCAGGGCGGGCAGCAGGGCGGACCTGGCGGGCAGCAGGGCGGGCAGCAGGGCGGACCTGGCGGGCAGCAGGGCGGGCAGCAGGGCGGACCTGGCGGGCAGCAGGGCGGGCAGCAGGGCGGACCTGGCGGGCAGCAGGGCGGGCAGCAGGGCGGACCTGGCGGGCAGCAGGGCGGGCAGCAGGGCGGACCTGGCGGGCAGCAGGGCGGGCAGCAGGGCGGACCTGGCGGGCAGCAGGGCGGGCAGCAGGGCGGACCTGGCGGGCAGCAGGGCGGGCAGCAGGGCGGACCTGGCGGGCAGCAGGGCGGGCAGCAGGGCGGACCTGGCGGGCAGCAGGGCGGGCAGCAGGGCGGACCTGGCGGGCAGCAGGGCGGGCAGCAGGGCGGACCTGGCGGGCAGCAGGGCGGGCAGCAGGGCGGGCAGCAGGGCGGACCTGGCGGGCAGCAGGGCGGGCAGCAGGGCGGACCTGGCGGGCAGCAGGGCGGGCAGCAGGGCGGACCTGGCGGGCAGCAGGGCGGGCAGCAGGGCGGACCTGGCGGGCAGCAGGGCGGGCAGCAGGGCGGACCTGGCGGGCAGCAGGGCGGGCAGCAGGGCGGACCTGGCGGGCAGCAGGGCGGGCAGCAGGGCGGACCTGGCGGGCAGCAGGGCGGGCAGCAGGGCGGACCTGGCGGGCAGCAGGGCGGGCAGCAGGGCGGACCTGGCGGGCAGCAGGGCGGGCAGCAGGGCGGACCTGGCGGGCAGCAGGGCGGGCAGCAGGGCGGACCTGGCGGGCAGCAGGGCGGGCAGCAGGGCGGGCCTGGTGGGCAGCAGGTCGGGCCTGGGGGACAGCGGGGGGAACCTGGCGCAGATCAGGGGGGATCTGGCGGGCAGCAAGGGGGTTCTGGCGCAGATCAGGGGGGATCTGGCGGGCAACAGGGGGGTTCTGGCGCAGATCAGGGGGGATCCGGCGGGGGATCTGGCGGGATTGCAACTGTTCAGAATGTGGGAGACAGCACTTTCTCAAAGGTCGGTGTGAAGGCAGGAAAGGGGGCAAAGGGCGGCAAGGGTGGAAAGGGAGGGAAGGGGGGGAAGGGGGGCAAGGGCGGAAAGAAGTGAAATACAGTGCCTGCAAAACCGTCTCTGCAAAAAGTTCTTTGTTTTTGAGGCGCCTCGGAGATGGTCTGTGTTGTATCATGTATGTAAAATTTTTGTCTGTTGCATAGTTGGACCTTAAACCCAATATTCTTGAATGTTCCCCCAACCGATTAATGTGGATGCAAGTACTTATCCTGTTCTTCCATATCGCTCCTCCTTTGTTACATTCTGGGCTTACCTAAGGCTGACTTTTTGACTGGCACGGCAGAATTTCAATCAGCCACCAACCCATCACTTCTTGTGAAATTTCTGATTTGGAGTGCCAAGCCACAAACCAATACCCAAAGGAATGTCCAACAAGAACCAAATCAGGTGTTGCTGCCTCCGTTCCTTACCAGGTCTCTAATCGTGCCCCCATAAAGATTGTTGGATGGGCTGGGCTTGGGTTCCTGAGAAGAAATATGTTGCAGTGGTGGTATTGTATGCCTTATGGATACCATGGGTAGGGCTGCCAAGTTGCTGCTCCCGACCTGAGTTATTGAGGAGGGCATATGGCGTGGTCATGTAAGTGGTGTGTGAACACTGGATTGTACCGTATTCCATCAAATTTTTTACTGAATTGTATTGCTTGCTACGTACATAAAAAAGAAGACAGAAGAAAAGAAGGCCTACTCCCTTTCATTGATTGCAATATTGTATACCAGTCACACTACCGAACGTCAAATGAGCAGAGAAAGAGGGAACATTACATTAAGGTCGGTGGTCAACAATGGAACGACACTGCAGCTGTGCACATGTCAGTACACCAGTGCCCATGCTCATTGGTTTTGTACAAGTGCATCAGATAAAATTTGGGGAGGATGGGAGGGAAGGGGGTTGGGGCAATAGGGATGCGAGGGAGAGGGGGAAGGGCAATAGCAGGAGGAGAAGCCGATACTTGTTATGGCTCCAAATGTGAGAAACTACCCTACCCTAATTACTACACGTCTGATTTTGTCTCCTTGCACCACGTTTGGGCGGCTGTCTGCTGGCTGCACGGCATGGCACGGCTCCTACTGCTGGCAAACCCCATTGGATGCAAGGCCTCTGTCGTGGCACACCGTGGCTGGATGCAAGGCGTTTGCGTTGACGTATAACGACCATAGAATGATGGCTAGGAACGATTCAAAATCAAGGATAGCCAGCATACGGGCTACGCGCAGGAGGATACGGGCAGGAGGACAGGTTGCCTCACTGCTGCCCCAGCACCTGGGCGAGCTTCGCAGCAGCGTCCTTGCACCGTTTACCATAAACCTTCACAACGTTACCAGGGTTAAAGGCAACCGTCTGGTGATATTGCACAAAAATATGTATAGATGTATTACAGGCTGGTGTTCCATACAGTGTATCATGTCGACGTTGTTCTTGTTCTCCCTTCACCTTCCCTAGTCTCATCATTTCCTACCTAACTCATAGCAGTGAAGTAGTTACCTAATTATGTATATTATGAGATGGTATCAGTAAGGTTACTCCTAGGCCTGCGCCCCTTCACACTTCGTAATGCAATGTGACACCCCGTCAAGCCCCGTGACGCCCTTGAACGCAACGTGACACGCTGCCCCCCGCCTGCCCGCGCTACCTGCGCTGTACGAGCCACGCGCATGTGCACCGCAGTGCAGCAGATCCCCGCACGCACGCACATCTTCGCGCGCTCACACGGCATGCGCCGCATGCACTGAACCCGCCGCCGAGCTCCCTGAAACCGCTGACGCGCGCTCTGAAACCGCTTACGCGTGCCCTGAAACCGCTGACGCGCGCTCTGAAACCGCTGACGCGCGCCCTGAAACCGCCGACGCGCGCCTGTCCACCCTGCTTGCGCCCCGCCCCGTCCCGAGTTGCGCCCTGCCCTGCCGCCAGCGCGCAGCCGCACGCACGCCGTCCACAAGAGCCGACACGCATAGCAAATGTACGCGCACGCCCAGCTACCAACGCAATAGGAGCCGCGTACGCAGCAGTACCAGCTACACGCGCAGCTGCCCGTACACTAGGAGCCGCGCGTGTAGCAGCAGCAACTCGACAGTCAAACCCCCCTTACCCTACCGTACTTGACCGCTCTCTACCGCACTCGACTGCATCCAACCGCACTCCGCCGTACTCCACCCCACCCATACCAATCGCGGCGCCCAACCGAGTGGACCACCGAGCTCCCTGACCCACCAGGTCCCTGCTGCTGCTGTCCTTGCTGCGGCTGCTGCTGCAGGGACTGCTGTCGCTGCTGTGCCGTGTACCAAGCAATTGCCCAACTCCCCCTCTCGTGGGGCCCGCAAGCCCAGTACCAGCTGCAATGTTGCCTCTACCGGGCGCACTAGCAACGCCACCACCTCCACCACCACATGGACTCGTCTACGGCTGTTTTCTCCCCTCCTAGGTCACAATCGTCTCCTCCTGTTGTCCCGCACGATTGGACAGTTCGCTGTCCCGATCGTAAGAGTCCATCGTCTCCTTTTGCCGACCTCCGCTCTATCTTACTTTGTTGGAGTCCTCGTCGTTCTTTGCCTTAGTCAGTTCTCCCGTCACCTCCTGAGTCGTCTCTTACAGCCTCCACCTCTACCCCTATCTCTGACTACTACCGTGCCGTCCGTCCTGTTGTCACCAGTGTACTCACCGCTCTAGTCACTGACCCTCGTGCCTCTCTATTGTCAGTCTTGGCTCTTTCTGCCACTGTCTCAGACTTTGCCGCCACCCGCCTCCTTGACTACGCCACTCGTGTGGTGGCTGCCCGTCCTCTGTCAGCCGAGGGTGAGTCTGCCCTTGGCTGTGATATCCTAGAGGACAGGCAGTTTGAGCTGGAGTTATTGGCGCCCGCTTCTTCCCATCTCTGTGCCATGCTGCTAGCCCCTGAGGGAGATCCTGACACCCTTGACATACTGACTCCGCGCACGTATCGTGAGGCAGTGTCAGGGCAGTAGGTCTCTCAGTGGATAGCAGCCATGGACTTAGAGATGGCATTTTGGAAACCCACAGGCACTTACGTCGGCGCGGTTCCCCTGCCTTGAGCGAACGTAGTCGACAACATGTGGATTTTCAAGGTGAAACAACCCCAAGGATCACGGGGTGTCTTCAAGGTGCGTTACGTAGCAAGGGGCTTCATTCAGCGTTAAGGAGTTGACTTCTTCCATACCTTTGCCCTTACCCTGAAGATGACTATTCTTTGTCTGTTACTTTACGTTGCAGCACAGCGAGACTACGAGCTGCACTCCCTCGACTTCTCCACTGCCTTTCTCCAAGGCAGCCTTCATAAGAAGATCTGGCTGCGCTGTCCTCCTGGCTTAACTGGCAATTTTTCGCCTGGGACCCAGCGGAGCCTGAGACGACCAGTCTACGGTCTCCGTCAGGCACCCCGTGAGTGGCACGACACTCTACACTCCACACTTGCTGACCTTTGTTTCAAACCTTCTACCGCTAACCCGTCGCTGTTCATTCGCTATGGGCCCACACCTTTCCTCGTCCTCGTCTTCGTCGACGACTTGGTCTTTGCTACAGCAGAGACACACGTGCACTGACCTTGGTGAGCTGCGCCGTTGCCTTGGCTTGCAGATCACCGGGGACAGAGTCGCTCGCACCATCACTTTAACTCAATCACAGATGGTGCAGCAGGTCCTTCAGCGGTTCAGGTTTCAGTTCTCTACCGCACAGCATTTTCCTCTTGCCGTTTACCACATGCTCACCGCTCATGTTCCTAACGAGCTCTTTGAGCCTAGTGGTCCTTATTCAGAGCTTGAGGGCTGCCTTATGTACCTGATGACCTATGCTCGTCCAGACCTCGCTTATCCTCTCAGCATCCAAGCTCGCTTTGTTGCGACTGGGAGACATCGTCGTACTTATTGGATGGCAGCTGTGAGGGTAGCGAAATACCTTGCGACTACATCATGCATGGGGCTTGTGCTTGGAGGGACACAGCCAGTTGTACTGACCGGTTACTGCAACTCTTCCTACGCCGACGACGTAGAGACTCATCGGTCTACTCAAGAGAACTGCTTTAGCTTGGGCTCCAGTGCTGCGTCGTGAAGGTCTACTCGGTCGGCATCTGTGGCGCAGTCTAGCGCTGAGGTCGAAACCTACACCGTGTCGCGCAGGAGCTTCGCAGGCTGACCTTCTTGCTCACCGACCTTGGTGAGCGGCCGAGCTCTGCACCGACCTTGTTCGCTGACAACAAGGCCATGATCCTCCTGTCGATGTCAAGAGCCTCAATTAGAGAGCAGAGTGAAGCACATTGACGTCAGGTACTTTTCACTGCGAGAGCTGCAGCGGTGCAGTCAGGCGCACCTGGACTTTGTAGCCTCAGAGGCCAACACTGCAAAAATCTTCGCCCAATGCCCTTCTGCCTGGTGATCATCACAGGTTCTGTTTGCAGCTAGGCATTGTTGAGGTCCCTCAATTGCTGTTGTCGTACCTCATGTGTCTTGCTTGTACTTGTATTATTGTGTTTATATCTACGAACTCTTGAACTAGCATTGTGCACAGACCGTATGTTTACTTCGTGATCCACCCTGAGCTTTGCTGCGTTGTTTCTCTTGACTGGTCTTGTCACCTCTTGCTTGTCTTGCTCGTACTGATGCCCCGCACTGAGCCTATGGGGGTGTGTCAAATAATATTGATATCTATTAGGGGGTACGCTGTAGTGAGTTGCAACTTAGAGGGTACACTTGAAAGCTTTGACATTGTTCTTGTACTCCCCTCACCTTCCCTAGTCTCATCATTTCCTACTTAACTCTTAGTAGTGAAGTAATTAACTAATCAAGTTTTACCACTCTGTCATCATTTCTTGTAGCACCAAGCAAATCAATTCATTTGGCTGCTCACATTTTGAGCCGCAGCTGCACATCTACGCGGAATCAAAGGCGGCGGTGATGCTGGCGGAGAAATATCCATTCCTAGAGGAGGTTCGGGCGTTCCTAGCAGAGAACAAGGGGAACAGGGGGAACCCGGCGGACAACAAGGCGGTCCTAGTGGGCAACAGGGGGGTGCTGGTAGGGAGCAAG